GATACTGTACCTAGCAACTCTTAAGTCCCACTGCCATTAAGTCGATTCTGACTCACAGTGACCCTGTGCAGTGTTTCCAAGACCGTGACTGTTTTCAGGAACAGATAACCTCATCTTTCTCTGCCTGTCATTCCTACATGTAAGAAATGAATTTTAAATTTTAGCAGATTTCTTTTTGTGGTTACCGTTAGATAATCATATGGTTAAAGTATTCATCTGGCTTAAGTGATCTATATTGCGATTCTCTTTGTTGAATGGTTGTTTTTAGCTAACCACTGTCATTAGAATAACAAGTCCTGGTGGTACAGTGGTCACACATTGGGCTACTAACCAAAAGTCCAGCAGTTGGAAACCACCAGGTGCTCTGCTGGAGAAAGATGAGGCTTTCTACTCTTGTGATTGACTTCATTGACCCAAAGGCCATGACTTTGGTTTGTTTGGACTGCCATTAGCAGCAGGTGAGAGAAGACTAACACCCCTTCTGAATAAAACAGCCCAATTTTGCTCCAGGGTCTTTTTAACTCCTAAGAGAAATGGAAAAAGATGAGTTCTCACATGCTTTTAAGGTTGACTTATGTTAGTCTTTCGTGCCTCATTGAGGATATCCAGATGTGAAGTTGAAATACCCTTTTATGTGTATTCAAAAAATCACCTTAAAGTCTTTTATGCATTTTGAGGGGAATTCAAAACCTGCATTTACATTGAGGAAACCGAAGCAAGATATTTTATTGATCTCTTGTATTTTGAAATTAAACGCTACATCTCCCTCTGGTAACAAGGAATCATAGATTTATGGACACGTGCTATCTGTTTTCTACTGTCTGTAACTTGGAAGAGAGGAGGACTGACCCTCCAAGCAGTGTCTTTATCCTTCACAGGTAATGACAGTAAGTAATTATGATAGCTGAAATGAATTGAGCGCTTACTAGACGTCAGCTGCACTGTTAGACTGGCGGCTATGTATCAGTCATGTGACCGTCACGGCAGCCTGTAAGAAGGAGTGTTATCTCTTTCTTATTGATGAGTAGAAGAAACTGATCAACTAGATGAACCAAACTGCCCATGGTGCCTGGTTATGAGGAGGCTGAGCTAGGATTTGAATCCAGTTATAGTGAGTAGCCCACTCTCTTTGATGATTACTGAATTTGCAGGTCACATTGGAAAGTGAACAGTTCAGTGTCACGCGGGTACTTGCGTTCCCATCTCAAAAGATCTTGAAACTTGGTGCTGAGTTGGGCTGCTTTTTAAA